TTACTCAGATCAAAATTAAGAAAGAAAATTTAAAGCAACTATACTAATACTAATCATGCACAGATGCATAAGTCGGATGGATTTGATCTGACATGGAATTTGGAGCAGTTGGATTTACGTTAGAATATTAATTCAAATACGGGCCATGCATGTAATTAGGATCAAGCTTCTACATAATACGTCTTAAATCGATCCAACAAAGTTATAGAATTTTTTTTTTTAATCCACCAAAATGTAGTGAAGAGTCACAAACCTTTTCTTCAAACTTGTGGATTACACAATGAATGAAATTCTTTTGTTTGGATCTATTTAGTAATCGTCATGATCTTCCTCATCGTCTTGATGCATGTTAATTTACTAAGTTCAGTTTTAATCCTTGTCATTTTATTGATTATTAGGTGGAATGCACGTGCACTGTACGTGGACAAATAATTTAATTATTTACTTTAAGTTTATTTATTTACTATAACATGGTTATAGAAAAGTTATAATTATCATACTATGTTAATATTTTTTATATTTCCATGTCTAAAATCTTGTTAGATTTAATATTTTGTCTTCCAGAGAAATAGTGATGTTTAAAGCCTTAAAATATTATTGATTTAAGATTAATTAGTAATTTGAATGTATAATTTCAAAATATTAATGATGTAAGGAACCAATATGAAAAAAAAAACTATTATTATTAATGAAGAAAATAAATTCTTGAATTCATCAAAGAAAATTGTAGGTTTTATCCAATCATTAAAGATTTTGTTTAGTTATAAAAAATCACTTTCACCTATTGTTTACTTCCACCGATTGTTTATCCAACGACTGAGTATTATATATATTCAAGAACTTTTTTCTAGAAATTTCTAAGTTATAATGTACAAATTCAATCAAGAACGAAAACATAAACTATGTGATCAATTCCAAAATATGATATTGTACTCTTTTTACATCTCAATAACTATTAATTTATCCATCAAAATGATTTCTCTCTAGTTTCTAAAATTTATAAAGTATACTTTGAGAATGATTTATACATATTTTGCACTCATATTGATTGTATTTTAAAAAAATAATTCATATACATCTAATGTCAAACAATATCCAAAAAGTTATGTTAAGGGATTAGAAGAATACAATTTTCGCAACAATACTCATATCCGAACTATGAGCTTCATAAACTTATAAGAAGGCGAGTAATATAAAATGACAACTTAATTTACTTTATCCAATAATTTATTATAAATCATGAAAGACTAGGGGAATCAGAAGGAACACATACCCATCCCAAATAAAGATTAAGTTTCTCTTAGAGATTTTTATAGCAAAAGATTTTCAGAATTGACGTATAAAATAAATTTAATGAGAAATAAACCAAATCAATTCATTGAGTGATGGTCTTGCTATAGACTCCACTTTTATAAAATTAATGTCACATGTGCCTTAAGTTGTGCTTTTGGTTAAATGTTAATTTTAAAAACTCCTCCTCAACTATGGGGCGCATACGTCAAGATTTGAGTGTTTTGTAGGTGATCTATCTCAACGTAAAATTTTTGATTTAACCCCTGTAAAAATTTCTCACTGAATCCTAACCTCTAAAAACTAATATCATTAAGTCTTATCTATTATGTGACAAGTACTTGACTTGGAAAGATCAAAATATCCCTCAACCATAAAAGAATTACATTGGTTTTTGCCAGAAAAAAGAAACAGAGGTAATATAGAGGGGAAAAGAATTGCAAATTGGTTGTTATCCTTTTATAACCAGTTGAGCGTTTCGTTTTAACTAAAATGGCTCTCTTCAAGAGGGTATTTTGTCCAAATCACATATTGAAGTAACTATATCAAGGGGGTCTATTGATAGAAGTGTGAAGGATTATAGGAGTTTTTATGAGACACGCTATAATTAAGGAGTTTTTTCTAAAATAGCACCAAAATTGAGAGGGGTTATCTATAACACCCCCATAATAAGGGGATTTATTAAATTAAATCAGTTGAGTTGGCTTTTGAGACAATCCTCATGGTTGTGACGGTTTTTTTTAAAAAATAACTCTTCTTTTAAATATGACATATTTATAATTTGTCCCTTAAAATTTTAATAATTTAATATTAGACCCTAAAATTATGAGCAATTTCAAAATTTTGAGGGAATAACATAGAATTATTGGTTATTTAAAATCAATGAACTAATATTAATAATTTTCACATATTTGCTCTTATAGGTATTGTATTAAACATCAGTTGATATATTGTTATATCGGTCGATATATCGGGTTAAAGACTTTATCTCGATAAAGTTTTATATTGTTTTCTTTTATTTGGTGATTGTTTTGATAAATTGACCGATATAAAAAATATGGTTGATATATCCCTTTGAAAATATCAAAATAATTGTGTCATTTTTAATTTGATTGTGGGCTCGGGTTTGAATCATGTTTGGGAAACAAAATCGAAACATCTAAAACCCACAAAAGCAGCAATTCTTCTCCAAAAATTTTGCATTATCGGCTCTCAAAAATCTTAAGCATATATCTCGATGCAAATTGTTATGTTTAAAATTAAGTAATATGTTAGATTTCATATTACAATATTATGTTATGTATGAAATTATCTCATATAATGCCCAGTATTCTATACATATTCCTGATTTCTGCAATCTGATATCATGGATTTTATCTGTTCAATATTTATCTCATGTCCATCACCCTATAGCAATCCTTCGAAAGCCTATTCTAAAGTATTCTAAGCGAAATATATAATTTTTAGACCATCCTTTAAGTATGGAGGAGTAAATAAGCTAAGCATCTGGGCTCATGTTGTATGATGAATATTTATCAATGGGATTATATACTATTGTTTGTAGATAACAAAGATTGGCTGAAGTCTTTCAACGCGGATAATTTTGATAAAGATTTTTGGTTTTTTTTAAAGATTCTTGCGTGCACTTTAGGTAACTTAATCTGTACCATTATCATTTATAACAACAAAATGAGAAGGGCCCACCTCTTATTCTGACGTTAAAGAGAAAGGGGGAAAAGATGACTAAATAATACTGATGAGTAAGAGCGGCCGTGATTAGTACAAAACTGCAGAATGAACTTTCGGCCAGAAGATATTTTTAGTAATTTACAGGACCCATGTATGACTCAGATTAGAGGGACCCATGACCATGATGTTCTGATAGTAAACGATCCACATTTTTGGTTGTCAAGGATAAATTTGTTACAAGGATCAATAACATTAACACACAATAAAAGATATTTGTTTGCGTGAAATTATATAAATAAATTATAATTGTAGGATCTACTAAATAAAAGCTATTATTAGTTGACATAACAAATTCCATAATAAGAAAATATAGAATATTTAAATCCAGCAATAAGAATAACCATCGATAAATTAGGCAAAGTCAAATCGTATATCTCATAAACGTAAATTATGATTGTTAAGGTCTAAAAGTTAAGAGTGTGAGAGGATACTAAGGTTATTTGCAATTTGTTACTGTAAAGTTTACGTATGGCTTTTTAAATTTTGATACCCCAAAGGTTTTCTGACATTTTGATACCCAAAATTTACATATTTCAAAACTTTGTTATCCTTAAATTTACATCTTTTTAATTTGACGCCCTAGAGTTTACATGTTTGTTTAACTTTGATACCCAAAACTAAAAGTGGATGGTTTCTTCTCAAAACCGTCTAGGGATCGGTGGACCCCTTCCTTCACGGGTAACGTCGTGACGCGCATCTTCCACAAGAGAAAATTCGACTTGCTGTTAAATTTCTCCACCTAGAACATGGTCGTTGTCGTCTTGGTCGCCATAGTAGCTCTGATACCAATTGTTAGAGTATGCAAGCCGTGAAAGATAAAACTTAAACAATCAAGAAACCCCAAATCTACCAAACAATCAATACAAACAGCAAACAACAAGATTTAACATGGTTCTACGCAATCAAGATGATCCGTGTACGTCCACGGGGAGAAGGGGGAGATCTTATTTCTTTTGAGAATAGATTACAAGAGATTGAAACTACACACCCCTAACAATGGTGGAATATAGATGATATCTCTCTGTTTTCTTGTTGTTAAACCCATTGATTGATACAATATATATAGAGATTGATTTTGCTCAATCCTATTAGAACTCTAACTTGAATCCTAATTCGATTTCCCAATTCAATTAATTCATTCAACCCAATCCTAATTAGGATAATATAACTATTTCTAATTAGAGTCCAAATCCAATCATGCTTCTCAACTGATTTGAGTCATCACGAACTCAATAGTTATTGTATGAAATAAACATCAAATTCCTCATTTGGATATGTATATTTTTTGTTGTGGCGAATGTATTTTAAAACTAAAATCTAATGTTTGGTTAGCTGCAAAAGTCGTTAGATTGGCAATTTTTTGTAGTGGGTAATGCATATCCATTGCAATGAAGTGTTTGTTTATCTGAAAATGGAAAAATGTCAACAATTTTGGGGTAGATTTATGTAATTTGCTAACAGGGTTTTAGTTTTTTGGTTAATGCAAACTTTCAACATTTGTTGCGGCCATTTGGCCACAACAAATTCTACATCTTACTTGTACAAAAACTAAATCCAATTACCATAGCCAACTATCTTATCGTAAACCAAACACTATAAATATAAATTTTTACTATATTTACCGTTATAAGCCTATTTCATGTGAACCAAACAACCCCTATTACGTACTCCCACGCTCCAAATCCAATCCAATCACACCCTCCCATCCCTTATAAAAGAGCGCAAATACTAAAAATCTTCCTTAAGATTATCTCTTTTCCTAATCTAGTAACGAAGGGTCTTTTTCCTGGGCATTAGTCCCTTAAACCCTTCATAATTCGAATCAGTTCCTGAGCGAAATTTCCAATGTACGGGGAGTTGTTCAAGGACTAATATCGAAAAAAAAAGCATTTAATCAGCAGTAGCAGTAGTTAATATAAAGCACGACTGACCAGCGACTGCTAATAGAGCGCTAATTGTTGGTTGCAGAGGAATAAAAATAAAAATGTCATCGCATTCTTTTGTTCTCGCTGTGATCGCCACCAAATCTCTCCTATAAATATTTACTCCCCGCTCTTTCTCCCCCCTTTTCTAGCGATCTCGAGTGAATCCGCCCGATTTCTTCGCTCGATTCACTCACCCCCCCGCTGGATTTTCATTTCAAAAGGTTGTTTTTTTTTTCCGCCCCCTCCCCTCCTAAATTTTGCTCTCCTTCTCCTCCTTTTGTTTTTATTTGCTAGATCCTCAGACAGAGATCTTTTAGTGATTCTCCGTTAAGATATTTATCTGCGCGCACCTTCTCGATTCATAGAGCACATACAATCAAAAACCCTAGAAAAGCCCCTTCGACGTCGCGTTCGTCTGCTCAGCTAATCGATTCCGCTTGTTTTCTATTGAGTAGGTGGGGGGGATCACGAAAACCCTAGATAGGCTCTAGGGCGGTTCTTTTTTGGGGCGAATGGGTTGCGCCTTTAGCTGTTTTCATGCGGACGATGAGGACGATGATGACCATGACCGGCAAAGCCCTGAACCTCCGGTGTTGAGGAATTGCGTCTGCTCGGCGCTGACCCAGCAGTTGGTGAGCGTTCTATTTTCAGTATGAAATGTAGATTTTTTTGATGTTGTATAGAGAGGAATAAGAGGAGCGGCAGGGTAACCTTCTATTTCGGACCTTTGCTTGATTTAGAATATTTACCGCAAGCATGCAAATGCACGCGTCCTACGTATCTTAACCCGCATTTCATGCGACACCAAATTTGAAGGGGATGATCCTCAATGCCCGTCATTTCCAGTATGAAAGAACTGATTCTATTCTCACAGTGTTAGGCCATGCACATAGCATGAGTTCTTTGTTGCGCAACTGCATCTGTGTCGGGTGCGCCAACTGGTGCGCCAGGCGCTACACTTTCTCGGGTACATGTTGACTACTTACTCGTGTTTTCGCCAAAACGATACAGATCTTACTTTAGGACGCTTGTTTCCGTACTTCTTGGACACGTGTACCATACTTAAAGCACTTTTTTTTTTGCTCACATGACTTGTTTGATACATAAGGTACCTACTTTCAAGTATACACTAAAGATGGGGGGAAATTCTACTGGTTGGTACACGACTATGATAAGTGCAAATGTATAGCTAGTTATTTTGATTCAAAGTGAATATCTAAATATGTTTCGTTTCATGAAGTCATAGAATATATGGTAGGTAGGGGTGCAAATGGATCGGATACGGATCAGGTATGGTTCTTTTCATTTATGTATCCAGTTGCTAATCACGGATACAAATACGGATTTGAATACATATATGTCTCGATAAAAAAACATATCCATATATGCCGAAAGAATAAGGATATGAATCGGGTACAACAAAACATATATGGATACAAAATGAATATGAAAAAAAGAAATGTCATGCCTCGTATCCTGTATCCGTGGCATACTTGTGTCACATATCCGTGTCACGCTCGTGTCATGTGTTCATTTCCATTCCACTTAGGGTCGGTTAATATTAAATGGATTATACAGAAGGTCCCCATAGAGTTTGAACATATTTTGGTTCTAGGTTGTGTAGATCACTTTGTCTAAGATTGCCTGAGCCACTTTCTTTACGGTTGTCATTATGCATAATATTGGCAATTAAAACTTATCGGGAAACTCTGTCTGTTTTTAGGAGGTTTCTCCTTTGAGCCAGTATATGTCCCAAGTCATACTATGACTGTCACCTCCTCCCCCTCTACATTGTGTGGATTAGTGGATATAGAAGAAGAGCATGCTTTACCACAGATATCATCAAAAGTTTTTAAACTCATTTGTCCATCCAATTATTAAATTAATAGCACATTCATACCTATGTGAGTAATTGTTCCTCTAACGGTCGGATCTTGGATGAAAAGTTGCACATTATTAACATTTTTAGTTTATGCTTCAAATATAGTTGATTATAGTATAGGGTAGAAGTTTTGCTAATGAGTTGGATGGCTCTCAGAGGATGGGGATTTGGAGTCTCAGCTTGCCATCCTGAAAATGGACATCAGCAAATATTAGTGTAGTTCAATCAAAATGTTTTTTGTTTTTGTCTTTCAATTGTTACCTTAGTCATCTCCTCATACTCAGACACACAAATGCACACTACACACGCACATTCACTGCTTATCATTGAGCATTTGCTAATCTCAGTCATGTCTAAACTCTTTTAGACTCTCTTGGTATTTTAGAAGATTTTGTCGGTTGCGACTAGCTCCTTTAGTTACAAGAGCACAGGGAGATAGACTGTCTTGCCTTCTGATAATCTTGTAGGTTTTATTGCATCCCCTGTTTAACCCAGAGTTTCCTTAACAGCGCATTGACATTGATAGTTGTTGTTTAATTGACAATGAAGCTATAATTACTTAATCTATCATTGCTTCACATAATCTTCTCAATTTAGAATTGTTTTTCCCTATTGATCTATATTACTGAGAAGATATAAGTGGTGATGGTGATTCTATCACGGGTCACGAACCAATTGTGAATTAACCCCTTTTTCCCTGTTAAGTTATGCATGGATGGCCTCAAACCTCTTTTTTGTCATTGCTTGTCCTGAAGGTTCAGCTTTCAGCTCCTTAAAATATAGAAGCTAATATGTCTATTTAAGTATAACTTGCGCTTTAATATCAGTGGTCAGGTTTCCAAAACAGAACATAGTTTTTTTTATTGGTTAAAGAATTTATGACTTTCTAGGTAGGAGAGCTTTTTTCCTTGATGCTTTTAAAAACTGCTACTTTGATCACAGATTAAAGATTTTGGAAAATCTTCAAACTTGCACGTAATCATGCATAGTTGAAATTGTCTGTTGCGACCATTTATTTTCTACTGATAATGGTGTGAGGTAGTTGCTCTACAATCCTTAGCTTTTTGTTATTGTTTGCGATTGTTTTACAGTTATATATAACTAATTTAAATGCCTTTATATATAACTAATATAAATGTCTTCTGTTCTTGTTATGATAACGGTGTTTTGTTTCTTATATATGATTTAAAGGTTTCATAATTCTTTTAATATGTTATGGTTTGGAAAAGAAAAGAAAATTTTACAAAATCTATGTACTTTGAAAATGATTTTCAGTAACAGGTGTATTTATAGTTTGTTGAAAATTATACTACAACTGCCAATGCATTTCTCTCTATTTTTGCAGTATTATGTGCTGTTCCAGAGAGCGTATGTGAGTGATACCTCTTCATCTGTGCAAGAGACAACTTCACGATCTGGTGTAGCTGAAGATAGGTCTATATCAGATTCATATCGTCCTCCTCCGAGGCCTTTAGCTTATGATGATCCTAGATGCTCCAGGTCAAACTGTCAGCACACAGGGCTCATATCAAGGGGTGAAAAGGCTTCAAGCCATGTACATGAGGAAACTGAAAGACTCCGGGGAAGAAACAGTACCACTGAATATTTAGGCATTGGAAACAAGCTGAATGCGTCTGATAATGACAAGCTCTCCAAATTATGTCTTTCTGAGTCCTCTCTGAAGTTCCCATCCCAGGAAGTTACTAGTGGAGCCATGTACATCTTTTCGTCATCTGAAGATGAAGATGTGTGTCCAACATGCCTTGAAGGTATACTACCAAAATTGTTTTTTATCTTTTTATCAGTTTGTTGGGTTCAGGTTTGAACAGTATCCTGCATCGAGCATCTAGAGGGACACTAGCCTTATTTTCTATGTTTCATCACTTTTCTAGGTTAGACAGGCAATGTGTATAATGATAACGACTACTTTGAAAACATGACATGAGAAAGTACCATGTACTCTACAAAAGTATGAGAGTGCTTAGCAAACTTAACAGTTATTGCAAGCGTTGTATTGATGTTAGAAACAAACACTAGGAAATTGTATACTGTTGGTGTCTTATCTGCAGTCAAGATTTTTTCATATTTTTGTGTATCCATGTCAGTTATGGCTATTTCCTTACATGTAAGCTCATGGCTTTGATTTACTAATATTCCCCGCACATGCTGTGCAGGTTCCGGAAAAAAAATACTTCATGAAAATTAATAGTGAAATACAATTAAGAACATTAAATAACTATTAACTGAAATTATATACTTCCTGAAGAAATTAGTTTTTTAGGGGTTTTTCCTAGAAGCCACCTTAAAAATAGGGTAATTGTATGGAAACAACCTTTCATTTTCAATTTATACGTAAACCACCTTTAAAGTGTCCTTTTTTTTAGCAATCAACCACCTCTCAATCAAAATTTTACTAGAAAAAAAAAGCTTAAAAAAGTTTAAGTTCAAGGTATGTGAGTTGTAGTCTAACTAGATCTAAACACTAAATGAGTCAACTTTAAAGGTAGCTGATTGCAACAAAAATCTACTTTAAAGGTAGTTTATGTATAAATTGAAAACGAAAGGAAATTTTCTTATAATTAACCAATTTTAAGGTGGTTACTAGGAAAAAGCCCTTTTTTTTTATTTAAACAGAGCAATATAGAGCAAATATTAGTTCCACACTTCCACAAAACAGAGCAATTGTACAGCAGATTGCTTTTGACATTTCCTATACTATGAAAGACATCATGCCTCATGCCTAACGATTTCTACAAAGTAACTTTACCAATCAGTATCAATTAGAATCTATTTACAATTAGTATGTTATATGCTGAAGTTAGGCTGCCTTTGTCAAACAAAAAATTGATCTGTTATTTGTTACCATCAATTTGAGCTTAATCTGGCAGTGATCTCAGCTGATTTGGATTGCAGAGTATACTGTGGAAAACCCAAGAATAATGATGCAGTGCTCTCACCACTTCCACCTGAGTTGCATATATGAGTGGATGGAAAGAAGTGAAGCATGTCCTGTCTGTGGGAAGGTAAACTGGTTTATCCTATCTGTTTCCGTTATATGCTTTGATTCTTTTCAGTTCTACTGTCACTTTTCATTAAGTCTGTGATATGGTTATATTGATTTTTCCCCAATCATAAGTGAGACATACAGTAGATCCAAAACTAACAGGAGAGGTTTGTGAAAATTAGGTCATAGTTGCATGTAATGAAGTGTTATTGGACTTCTAATATATATCTTACAACAAGCCACGTGGTTTTGCCATTTTGACACCTCTCATGGATTTTTATCATTAATCTTGTTACTTTTTTTTATAATCTAGACCTTTTTCCTTGCATTTCAACAAAATAAAAACCTAGGTTAACTCTAGAGTGGAAAAAATAAAACTACTACATTTTTGTTGCTGATAGCTGAGCTGTCTAATGGCCTCATCTTCTCTGTTAAAATGTCTTGTATATTTAGAATGGTGAATTGTACCCTCTTGCACTTCAAGGATATAAGGAGCTTCCAACTTTCTTATTTGTGTTCAGAAATTCAAGTCATTTGGATTTGGTAGTCCCTTGCGATGCTAATTCATTCAGATGATATAATACTTTGATTCTAGCAATTTCTTTCTTTTTTTATTCCTTTCATGCATTGACAAGTCAGTATACCGTCTATTCCAAAAATCTGAAGGAATAGAGAAAGTGACAAAGGTAACCGTCCCCTCTTTGACGAGTTTGAATGAAAAATTCTCATGGCAGACTTGAAGGCTGAGGTAAGATAGGCCATTGCAATTCAGTAATACCAGTATAATTTAAGTGGTTTTATGAGAAGAAAACTACACCTGTTATCCAAATTATAGCTTTTGCTCTTATTAATTTCGGTGCCTAGGCTTCTTGTAATACGACTCCGGCTAAACAGAAAACATGTAACAGTAAACTTTCACTCATAAGTCATAACTTAGCTGTTTTATTTTGTGTGTTCTCTTACTAATTTACTGAAGGTAATAGAATCATGCTATTATTTCTGTTTGAGAGGAACACTTGAGATTTTTCTCTCTGCTGTCCTTTATCTTCCTATTATCTTTTTATTGTCATCGACCGTGCTATTCTTTTAATGTACGTAACCTTTTGCTGCTTACAGGTTATGCTGTTCAGTGAAACAAATTGATGGCATTCCAAGAACAAATCTTTCTGGAGCGCTTGGTGATTAACTATAATATACATAATTTTTCTGTAAATAATTTGGTTTATGCAGAATATGTAACAGAAAAATTACTTACCCAGACTGTAAATTTAAATTCACCAGCCTTCTGTTGGGTGTTTTTCTTCTTCTTGTGCTCATTTATTTGAGCTATGAAAAAACATTTGGGTCTTTAATCTCTTCTGGCCCCTACATATATATAGCTACTGGAGTGATTCATAATGTTGGTAGCGTCCTTGTAAGATGCGTCTCTGAGTATTTGAACTTAAATCGATTCAGTTGAACTTCATCCTGAAAATTGTTTTAACAAGACCCTTTCGTATCTAATTTGCGGCTGTCATGGAGTCGAAGTGTCGCACAGAAGAATAGAGCGTGATCCTAAGTGGCAACAAGTATCATGAATTTCAGTACCAGCAACGTTACCAGCCTGAAAACAGCCTGTTGTGATTTTCTCTGCACCATGGATTATTCTGCTGGACGTTATTACAGGTCTCAACATAATGTGTTTTGCTGACGGTAAGCACGCTTTCGCTCAAATGATGAAAGCCTCGAGAAGAGCTGGAGCAAAGTTAAAGCTAGTTTTCTTTCTTCCCAGCTTCTTAATTTTATTTATTTGTTTCTTTAAGATTAAGATGTGCACCTAGTTATACCTCTGTTTTCAGGGTTTGAGCCTGCGATCGTCAGTGATGCTCCAAGAAAAGAGTCGAGCGGATGTACATGTACAGTACGTAAATCGTCAGACGTTTTCTGTTTGAAAATCAGTTTTTGTGGAAAGCTTAAATCAATTCACAAACACCTCTCGTAGAAATGTGGATTAACCCGCACCTCTGTTGTTGTTGAACTGTTAGTTTCGCAACTTTTTTCTGGCAACAGAACTCGGTTATGTATCATAGTGATGAAGTAAATGCTGTATTCGCATGTAATAGCTCGAGCAAGATGCCTGAGGCTACAAATACATTATATAGATAAGAGCGATTTTATTCATTTACACACACGCGGATAGCGTACAAGCAAGCAAACAGACGCATTAAACGCGAATAGGTCACATATGACTTTAACAATTCATGCATGGAAACACAGCGGACGTCAACGGTGGTGGTGTGAGGAGAGATAAACGCAACGAGGCAAGGGCACGGTCTAGTGAATTTATTCATGCATAAAGAGGAAAGGGATTAAAAGTGAGGCCCCAAAGTTTGCCATAGCACACTGCTTGTTCATTTAACAATCACTGAGAAGAACGCTCAGGCAGCATTGGTGTCATTTGCAACTGCTTGAAATGCTCGCAGGAAAACCTCGGGAGGTTGGCCCCCGCTGAGCCCATGCTTCCCATTAATCTGGAGGAGGAAAAAAAAGAGAGAGGAGGAAGTTGGGGAGAAGAAAATATAAACATTAAAGCTAAACAAATGGCACCATAATGCTCAGTGAATCTAGATGGTATATGAAACCTCTCATACCACAAAATATGGGACTCCTGAGATGCGTGAAGAGTACTTCTCAAATTCTTCATTAACCTTTACAAAACAAATCAATCCATTAAATATGCCAATAGGAAAATAGAAAGGAATGGCTTAAAGAGCTAAATAAATAAAATAAAATAAACCTCCTTAAGACCCCTGTTAGGATCTTCAAGAAACTCTGCTGCCCCCTCTACGCCGGCCTTTTCAGCAGCATCCAACAGGACTTGCCTGCATCAAAAAGCAACAGTTTTGATGACTGTTCCCTCTACAACTAGGCAACACTCTCCACATTTGACGTTATTAGTTTGTCTAGCATCTCAGCATCTTGATCAAGATTATATATGGTACAACAATCATGCATTAGATTTTTTTTTTGAGAGAACAAAATCTTTAACTAAAATTAAGAGATACTTTTACCTTTTATTATTATCGATGTATGAATTAATCCGGTCATATGTAAAATGTCTTAGAAGAGCGTTAATAATACCATGACCTGATATTAAGGTTGAGCATCACAGCATGGTGTCAGGCCACTAGACAGATAGAGGCAACACTAAAATCCAAACTGTTCATCAATTGGTTTATTATAAAAAAAACTGCCTTTTTAAATAGGGAAACAAACTAATCAAGGCAGAGTGAGGCAGCTAACCGTTCATATTTGTATATAATCATGACCACTACTTCTCAACTTCATAAAAATTTACTCACCGGTCACCTATATACTTTCCCTGACAAAAGTAGTTGAGAAACAACTCATCTACGAGAGCGTTTTGCTTGTCATAACCTTGCTTTGCAGCAAAAGTAATGAGCCTATGACTGTCTAAAGTACTCCCCCTGCAATAAGTAGGATATTCAACATTACTTACGGACTTGCCTTGTACATGTGCATGCTATGTCCTAAAGATATATGCAATAAAACTTACGTCAGTCCAGAAGTGTCATATTCAAATCCAAGGCTCCGGAATATCTGGAAAAGTTACGCAGGGTAAGTAAATCTACTGGCATGATTCTCATAAAATTCATTGTCACGTAAACCAATAGTTTAGGGAAGAACCTCTGTCATTCGAAGTGCCATCCGATCAAATTGGCCAGCTCCAAATTTCTTATAGTAGAACTCCAATTTTTTAATACCTTCCTTCGGTGCAGAAGGTTCAAGAAAGAATGGATGCCATCTCACCTACCAAATGGAGCAAAAGAAGAGCAAGTAATTGAATATTGTGATTGAAGGAGGAACGGGAAGGTTCAGAACTGTGACAAATTTAGGCCCAGAAGAGAATTACCTCAAAATCAAATTGGTCTTTTGAAATATCAATAGCCTTTTCGAGGTTCTTCTTACCCACAAAACACCATGGGCAGACGGTGTCTGAGCTAATATCAATTTGTACATGCTTCTTTGTCATGGGTGTTATGTATCTGCAAGAGCTCAGAATGTCATCATAATATCTTTGTTAAAAAAAGTGACTTCAGATATCTGCAAGTTCTAACACCATCTCAGTTTCTCCTCATTGGTAAGAATGTAGACGCATTACATGATGGCAAGAGTTCCATCACTGAATGAGTGATCCACACATAAGTGAGCCTTAATCTTGTGAGCAATCTCGTGTCGGTAGCAATTGCATAAGGTGGCATATTAAACCTTAAAGAATACCCACACACACACGCACACGCACATACATGTACACACACTTATACTTTAAGGTTTAAACATACAGATGATCCATTTTTTATTCACGAGGAAAAACCAAATTTGTATCTCATGCCCTGCCTTCTAAGTGTCTCTCTCTTGAAATATAAGGTAAACGCCACCAACGGGCTTCACAAAATAGACAGACAAATTAATGAACTCAGTAAAAACAGTGTAGCTAGCAATCAATGGATCAACTGAGATGAGCGTGGGATGACCGATGCTCGTAGTTAGTGATGTTTCCAAACTACAGATAATACCTGTGGAAGGCATACCTCTCTAACAGAGTAACATTGTGAGTGGCTATTTGAGGACTCGGCATTGACAAAGGAATCACTTTCCTAACTGCGGTGTCGCCTGCCGAGGACATATCCTAGTGCTATGCTTTTGCCCAAGACTAAATATGTTGATCTAAAACCTAATAAAGTTGGGATTGTTCAGAGTTTCTATTATTGACGTTTAACCGTCCCTAGTAGCCCTGCTCCCATCGGTTTAGCCTTCTTCCATGAGGTGAAGTTGGAATAGATAACACAACATTGAGCTCAATTTTGAATAGAATTAAAATTGCAGAAAAGCACCATTACTCAAATTCCAGTTTGAAGCTTTAATTACCATGCTTGTGGTTCTCTAGCCAATTCAAGCATCTTAAATCTACACACACATATACACAAATTTCTAATTTTTTTTTTGGTTGGGTCTTCAGGAAAGATTACGCAGAATTTCGTTCTTCTTTCAAATCCCTAAACAACAACCAAAACTAATTCTCTATCTTACCCATCTCAATTTTTTCCATCTTTGACCCCCCCAAAAAAATACATAAAATATGGAGATAAATTCAAAATGAGCAGAATCAATAGACAAATTAATTGGAATTAAGAATTTCGGGAAGAAGGCTGAAGATCGAACCTCAGATTTCTGTAAAGAAAAATAAAGGAGAGAGCTTTCTGCGTTCCCACTGACGTTCTCGAGTCAAATTTTTGGAGCAAAGAAGTCGGTATTTATAATAAAACAAATATGAAAATAAATCAATAAAGGAAATAAACAAACAAAGGCGGGGTTGGTGGTGAGAATTTGTCAGCAGGACAAATTTTCAAAACAGCCTTCTTTGGACTTTTAATACCAAAAAAAGACACATTTTCAACTTATTTTCAGAAACCGACCTGGTTTCAGCCTCAGCGCTGAAACCAGGTTCGTTTCTGAAAAAAAAATCCGAAGCTTCACGGAAGTTGAACTCCCGTGAAGTTTAGTAAGCTTTACTAAACTTCACGGGAGTTCAACTACCGTGAAGTTTCATAGTTCAAAAAAAAAAATTGGTAAGCTTTACTAAACTTCACGGGAGTTCAACTACCGTGAAGTTTCATAGTTCAAAAAAAAAAATTGAACTATGAAACTTCACGGGAGTTGAACCCCCGTGAAGTTTAGTAAAGCTTACTAAACTTCACAGGAATTCAACTCCCGTGAAGTTTTGAATTTTTTTTTCTTCAAAAACCGATCTGGTTTCAGCGCTGAGGCTAAAACCAGGTCGGTTTCTGAAAATAAGTTGAAAACGGATCTTTTTTTGAGATTAAAAGTATAAACAAAGATTGTTTTGAAAATTCCTCCTTTGTCCGCATGGAGAAGACTGTGGACTATATAAATAGATTTGGTCTTTATAATTAATTGTATATTTGTCTCTACTTTAAAAAATTGGATTAGAATTTTCTACAAAGGAAAAATACCATTAAGGCTATATTTCCCTGTTACGACGCTCGCATACATACGATGCGTGTATTCCAAATTGAGGTTTTTTCAACGTCCTCCCTTACATCTTTAGTATTATAAAATTAATCCCTCAAATCATTATAGTTGATATTAGACCCCCCCCGGGTTTTATAACTTTCTATTGCTGCCCTTGACCGGAGGAACCAGTTTGAAGCAAGTTATAAGAGTAGGGTAAATTTGAAACATCTTAAAAGAATAGAAGACCTAATAGTAATTTAGATGGTTTGAGCGACTAATTATCGTTTTGTACTTGTATAATCTACACGGTTCAACCGAACCTTCAATGTACATATATTCATCACGGAAGTACTATGATGCAGATATAATACAAACATTAGATCTGATCGTCTGTGCTTTTTATGTACGTAAGAAAAGGGTAATATTATTACGCGCAGAAAATACTTTCACCCCCAACAGTTCTAGCAGTCAAACCGAATGAGAAAAGCATTACAGGATAAAATTACATTTGAACTCAAATCCCAGAACATTTTTGTCAGAGATTGAGGCACACACACCAGTGATACATATAACACAATTTATTTACACGAATTGTGGAAACTGCCGTGCTTTCTTGTGTTACAGCTAACACCATATATTTTTTTTATGACTGTTAGAAAAATGCTGTTTCTCTGAGGAAGTTCTAACCGTTCAAATGGCGAACCATCCATGGAGGCAGCAAGCTGCTGCCTAATCGCACTTGAGGATGGGCTGCTTCCTCGTCTTCCTCATTATTTCGTGCCTGGTACGTACTGCATCAAATGGATGAACACGGCTCTGAGTTAACATTATCGGCTCTATATGTCATGACAAATCCCCATGACAGACAAAAAACCACCACGCATGCACAAAAGAAATCGAGAAAGAAAAACACAGAGATACAATTACTGGAGGTATGTTGGCTTTCCTTAACAAACCAAGGGGAATACAGAACTGATGAAGACCTCTCAGCTACTTACCCAAATACACCCTACTCTCACATATAGCCTGTCTAAGAAAACTCCAGGAGTTGTAGAGAAATTAAACAAGAGTAGAACACAATGTACAGAGCTACAAGAAGGGCTATTCATAGGACACATTGATCCAAAATATAGACCAAGCAGGAGTCCCATTTGACTCAGGATCCGAACTCTAGTAAGAATAGTTATTTGAGTCATCCAATAACAATGTATAGTTATCGTAGCAGCAAGTTCCTTTTCATTTTATAGTAACACGGGAAACTGTCTGGAAAGTTTTATGTACGGGAAACTGTCTGGAAAGTTTTATGTATATATGTGATCACACGCAAGTAAGTGTAAAATTTCGTAAGATGAGACTAGTGTTAAGTTAGAGGATACCCCATGTTGAGAGTTGGAAGATTTTCAGGTATCAGGAAAGAGGAAGGTGAGGAGGAGCTTGTCTGCTGCTGGTTTTGCTGCTGCTCCCAGTGTGCTTGTTGAGCCTGAGCTTTGGCCTTGGACTTTTCTAAGAACTGCAAACAAAAATAGATGTTCTATTACAAACTGTAACTTTAAAGACAATGGTAGAAGGGCGACTAATCATGCTAATTACCTCTTTCTCCAGCGCTTTGTTCTGATCCCGCAGTGATTTCTCCTGTACATTGCAACCCAAGAGTCAAGAGCGATAACTAAGATGATGAAAACTTTGCTGTGCGGTTTGGTATTTCTATCTTCACTTAGAGCTGTATAATTACATCAAAACAGGGGCAATATATTATATATCACAACCCGTTGATGCCAGATTAGGTAGACGACTCGTTAAGAATTTCCCAGATGCTAAGTACACACTGTAAATTTAACTATGACAAAGAGTTAGCTTCATGTCTGCAATCTTAACATTCACGATGAAGACCTCTAGCCGATACATTCTGTTGTGATGTCAGATGCCAGAAAATAAGCATTCGTCAACTCTTGACACATATACCTTCTAGATGAATTGAAATATCATCCAAAATCATGCGAGCCTCATTAATTTATGTACTATATCTTCCAAGCCTATAATGGTATCGTCAGCTGAGCCTCTACAAAAATTCTGCACAAAATCTCTACCATCTCTCTGAAAATATAGATAATCAAATGAATTTAAGCCATAGAATTCCAGAGGCGCAAATAACAATTTCTTTATTTTCTCTTGGACTTCTCCACAAAGACACCTCACGATAACCTAGGTAACTCCCTACTATCTCCATATAAGCCGTGAAGGACATAAGTGTGGCATGTATAAATCGAGTTCAAATAATACCGAACTTAGCAATAGAGAGAGGTTGGGTCAATATATCAACAGGATTATTCATAGTATTAATCTTTTCTGAGAGAGATTGCTAGTAACAACAATATTTTGAACAAAACTGCCCATAATATCAGTTAGTGCCATTTAATTTCTGTGGTACGTAGTGTAACTTCATAGTGTAAGATATGTTTATAGCTGCTAGCTTAAGTAGCCAAGGACAACACACCAGTGAATGATTTTCTTCTATAAATATCCAACACAATTCTGAATCATCAAAGACGAGATAACAACCTTATTGCTCCACCTTCCAGATTCCAAGAAAACATCAAAAGTTCCTTTACCATATCTAAGATTCTTTTAGCTACCTGATAATGATCTTTAGAGGTAAAACATACTCGCTTATAACGACATGATAAATATCAGAGGGTACATATCACCTTCTAGTATACGTTGCATTGTCAGCTGCTCATTGCGAGGAAGCAAAAAGTGTAAAATAAGGAGCAAAGAGAAGACACAAAAGTTATACATCTTTTGTTGGATGCAGCCACAAATTTTGACAAAAGAAGGCAAAATTTGTGCCATAGAAAGGTGGATCCGCAACTTATAACAAAAAGAAAAATTTATGGCACCGAAAATGAAGAAATTCCTCAGCCACCTTTGTCGACAAATCGAAACCAATTTGCCTGTAAAAGGAGCAGGCTACAGAGTTTATCTGCATCTCCAAATTCAAATAAGAGAGAGAGAAAAATAGAGAGTTTCTCCTTATGTAAGAGAGATATTGTAACTCCTAAATTTTTTTCTCAAAATGAATTCTTTTACTCTTACTTATGGTTTTTGCCCCAATTTATTTAGGAAGTTTTTCATGTAAAAATATGTATCCAATTTGTTATTTTCATACTAATAATAGCTACGACCTTGCTCTATTTGGTCCCGATTTTTTACAAGTGGTATCAAAGCCTGCCTTAGAGTGCGTGTATCTGCTTATCATATGCTTTATGGTTGCCACCAAAGATGGATCCTCCACATCAAGAAATTAAGTTAGATTATCATTTACCCTTTGAATGCACTAGACACTATTCATAAGTACTGTTACCATTCATAAGTACGGTTACCGTTCACATGAAAATAGTATAAGTTGCAATTCATGATAGATGCAATAAAGGCGAAGTTCGAGATAAAAAAATTCAACGAGAGTAATTTCTCACAGTCAATGTTAAAGATAAATATTATATTGAGAAAAAATAATTGTCTAGCGGTCATCGGTGAAAAGCCAGAAAATATCATAAATGACAAGTGGAACGAGATGGATGAGAATGCTATTGCAAATCCCCATCTGGTATTAACAAATAAGGGTGTTATCAAGCATAGAGGAGAAGAAAACAACAAAGGAGAACCGTGATACTCTAACAAAGTTATATAAGACCAAATCCTTGCATAACAAATTCTTCTTTAAAAGGACTTTACATTATGAGTGGTGAATTTACATCGATGACCGACCATATCAACACCCTAAACATGCTATTTTCTCAATTTACAATATTGAGGCATACAATCAGTATGAATGAATATGCAGAACATCTTCAAAGTCTACCTGACTCGTATGATAAGCTCATCATCAATTTAACAAATAATATCCTTACAGACTATCAGTCTTCAACGACATTGCAAGTGCTGTTTTGGAGGAAGAATATCGATATAAGAATAAGAAAGCCAGGTAGAAAAGTTCGCAACAAGTAGAGGCTCTGATGGTGATGAAAACGAGATCAACGGAACGTGGCTCCAGTGAGAGTCATATCCATAAGAGATCAAAATCAAGAAGTGAGAAGAATATCAAATGCTACAATTATGAAAAAAGAGGACACATAAAATCAAAGTGTTGACACAATAAGAAGAGAGGTGATAAAAAGTCTTTAGAGCTAGCAACATCTCAAGGATGTGTTTTAAGTACATCAGCCTATGGTGAAGTTTTATACAATGGGGATAACAACTGTTGATAAAGGCAGAAAAAGGTTTATTGATGTCTGACTTCTAGATTCTGTAACCACTTGGCATGTGACCTCTCAAGAAGATCTATATTTATGAGTAATGATCATGCCTTAGAAATTTCTAATATTGACACTATCAAAATCAAAATATTTGACGATATAATACACACCATTCAAGATGTATGACATGTGAAATGCTTGAAGAAGAATCTGTAGTCTTTAGGACAATTGGATGAGTCCGTATGTAAAATCTATATGAAAAATAGAATCATGAAAATTATTAGAGGAGTTGTTGACATATTAATAATATGTAAATGAGCTTATTTGTAAGTCGTATTTGTAGGGGCCTATATAAGCCCAAGTTATCTCAGCAATAAGATTAGGGTTTTTACTATTTTCTTCATGGTATCAGAGCCTAGTCAACGCCAACCCTAACCCTAACCCTAACCCCAACACCGTCGTCGAACCTGCCCTCCGCTACCGCCATGCCCGCCCGCTACCCTAGACGCTGCGCTGGCCCTTGTGTGTTTGCAATACCGCCCCCTCACACCTCGCGCATTTCCCCGCTGGCCCTCGCACACCTGCCGTTGTCCTTGCACACCTCGCTGCCCTCGACACTCGTCGCTGCCCTTTTGAGCAGTCGCCCCCGCTGCACAGTTCCCCAAACCTCGCTGCACCCCCTCGCACCCCGCTGCCCACAACCCTAGCCACAACCGATGATGTGTAGCTTGTTGGATTCCCTCGACATCTCAATTATAGAACTAATGAGAGGATGTGTAGCTTGTTCGATTCTCTCGACATTTTAGTCCTAGAACTGATGAGAGGAAGAGTGTATCTCACGGTGTTGAGATATATCACTGTCGATTCTTGTTTCCTTTGAGAAACAAGAATTTAGTTAAGATCCTATTCTTGTTGTGAAGCAGAAGTGCTACCGAATTTTGCACTGTGCATGACAAGGAAAGGAGAATAGGTGGTTGGTCTAAAGTCTGATCAATAGAGGAGATCATCAAGAAGTTGACCCCCGCGGAGGTCTCAACTTTGATGCAGTTGATGAAGTTGTCGGCCGGTGAGAGTGCGATAAGGCCCCCGAAAAGTTAGAGATTCCACCCATCGATCTGAAGCTTGATGGACCAACTACTTACCTAAGTTGGTCACGACGAGTAAGATACACCCTTGCAGGGAGGAACCTGGAGGGGTACTTGACAGGAGAGACGACAGAGCCGGCTGAAGACTCAGCTGGAAGAGATGAGTGGAAGTCCACTCATATGTTGGTGTACATCTGGCTCCTCAACTCATTGGTCCAGTCGATCGCCGCTACAGTAGATGGCATCGGGAAGGTGATGGATGTCTGGGAAAAGTTGAGGACCTATGATGAGGTGGGGAAATAACCTGTGGGTGTTCTAGATCAAGGGAGAAATCGACGCCACAGTTCAGAAAGAGAGGAGTGTCCAGGGGTATGCCACAGAGCTGGAGCGCCTGTGGATAGATTATGATCACTTCTTACATCGGGCGAGCTGTAAGGACCCGGAGTGTAAGGAACGAGAGGTCTTTCTACAGGAGAGGACTATGGTATTCCTCAAGGGGCTGGCATCGGAGTTTACTCAGAGGACTGCATTACTGCTAGCTCAGTCGAAGATTCCTACACTTGAGGAGACAGTCTTGGTCATGATCCACGAGGAGACTCACATTAGGCTGTAGGCGGGGATAGGTGGACTTCCTGTGGTGAAGTCAGCATTGGTAGCCTCTAACTCTGAATCTAAGGGGGAGACTCAACAGTGCTATAACTGCGGTAAAGTGGGTCATTTAAGGCATGCTTGCACCAAGCCACCAAAGGAAGGGGATTCGGGTGGTCATGGACAGTTTGGAGGTCATGGTCGTGGCCGTGGGGGTCGACGAGGTGGAAGAGGAGCAGACAACCGGGCGAATCTGATGGTAGCAAAGGGAGAGGAAGCACCTGAGGTGGTCTTTACTGACGAGGATCATGCGCTTCTAGAGATACTCAGGAAGAAGCAGAGAGTAGTAGAAGATGGAGACAGGAGGAGTGGGACTGAGGAGGCATCCACTTCGATCTTCGTCAGAGACAACACTGCTACTTATGCTCATCCAACCAAAGGTACTGATAACATACATTCTCTTGCTTCTATATCTCCCGATAGATCATCAGAATGGATAATCGATTTCGGTGCGTCTCGACATGTGATAGGTAATGCTAGTGAGTTCTTATCATATACTCACCTAGCATCGACTGATAGTATCCAAATAGCTGATGGTACATTTCAACCAGTGGTTGGTAAGAGTACTATCAATTGTACAAATTCGGTAACTTTGTCCAATGTTTTACATGCTCTTTCCTTTCCAGTCAATCTTTTATCCATTAGT